GTGTGACCTGAGGATTCTCTGGATTTCCTCAATGTCCTTTGTTATGTCCCCCTTTTCATTTCTGATTTTGTTAATTTGGATATTCTCTCTGTACCCTTTGCTTAGTTTGGATAAAGGTTTGTCTATCTTGTTGATTTCCTCAAAGAACCAATTCTTTGTCTCATTAATCCCTTGTATTGTCTTCTTTGTTTCTATTTTATTTATTTCAGCCTTCAATTTGGTTATTTGCTGGTGTCTACTCCTCCAGGGTAAGTTTGCTTCTTTTTGTTCTAGAGCTTTCAGGTGTGCTGTTAAGTCACTCGTGTGGGAATTCTCCAGCTTCTTTATGTAGGCATTTAGTGCCATCAACTTTCCTCTTAGCACTGCTTTCAAAGTGTCCCATAAGTTTGGTTATGTTGTGCATTCATTTTCATTGAATTCTAGAAAGTCTTTCATTTCTTTCTTCTTCCTTGACCCAGGGATGGTGCAATTGTGCATTGTTCAATTTCCATGCGTTTGTAGCCTTTATGGAGTTTGTGTTGTTGAATTCTAACTTTAAACCATGGTGATCTGATAAGATACAGGGAATTATTCCATTTTTTTGTATCTGTTTAGGTTTGCTTTGTTGCCAAGTCTGTGGTCAGTTTTAGAGAAGGTTTCATGTGGCTGTGACAAGAGTATATATTCTTTTGTGTTTGGATGGAATGTTCTATAGATATCTGTTAAAGTCAATTGAGTCATAACTTCTGTTAGTTCCTTTATTTCTGTTAAGTTTCTCTCTGGTGGTCCAGTGATGAGAGAAGGGTGTTGAAATCTCCCACTATTAGTATGTGGGGGTTTATGTTTGATTTACATTTTAGTGATGTTTCTTTTACAAATTCAGGTGCCTTCGTATTGGGGGCATAGATGTTCAGAATTGAGACTTCATCTTGATGCATTTTTACTGGGATGAATATGAAATGACCTTCTTCATCTCTTTTGATTAGTTTTAGTTTGAAGTCTAATTTGTTAGATACTAGGATAGCTACACCAGCTTGTTTCTTAGACCCATTTGGTTGGAAAATCTTTCCCCAACCCTTTAGTCTGAGGTATTGTCTGTCTTTGAAGTTGAGGTGTGTTTCTTGTATGAAATAGAAGAATGGATTCTGTCTTCATATCCATTCTGTTAGTCTGTGTCTTTTTATAGGAGAATCAAGGCCACTGATATTAAGAGATGTTGATGACTGTTGATTGTTGATCCCTGTTATTTTTAAGATTTGTTGTTGGTGGTAGTATTGTGTATGTTTCCCTTTATGGTGTTTTTGGTAATGTAGGGTTATCTATTGTCTATGTTTTTGTGAGTATAGCTAACTTCGTTGGGTTGGACTTTTCCTTTCAGTATTTTCTGTAGGGCTGGATTCGTAGACATGTATTGTTTAAATCTGGTTTTGTCATGGAATATCTTGTTTTCTCGATCTATGGTGATTTAAATCTTTTCTGGGTATAGTAGTCTGGACTGGCATCAGTGGTCTCTTTAGTGTCTGTACAACATCTATCCAAGACCTCTGGCTTTTAGAGTTTCCATTGAGAAGTCAAATGTAATTCTGATAGGTCTGCGTTTAAATGTTACTTGGGCTTTTTCTTTTGCAGTCTTAATATTCTTTCATTATTCTATATGTTTGGTGTTTTGATTATTATTATGTGGTGAGAGTCTATTTTCTTTTTGGTCCAGTCTATTTGGTGTTCTGTAAGCTTCTTCTACTGTCAGGCATGTCCTTCTATAGGCTGGGAAGGCTTTCTTCTATTATTTCATTGAATATATTTTCTTTGAGCTGGACTTCCCCTTCTTCTATACCTGTTATTCTTAGGTTTGATCTTTTCATTGTGTCCCAGATTTGCTGGATATTTCATATTAAGAGTTTGTTGGATTTAACATTTTCTTTTGTCGATAAATCTATTTCCTCTAATGTATCTTCAACACCTGAAATTCTCTCTTCCATCTCTTGTATTCTGATCATTTACCAAGATTTTCCATTTCCAGAATTCCCTCAGTTTGTGTCTCCTTTATTGCCTCGATTTCAGTTTTCAAGTCTTTTTTTTATTTAGAAACAATCATTTTACATATCAGTCTCCCCCATTCCCTCTCCCTCCCATCCTCCTATGCCCCCTACCAATCCCCCAACCCACCACCCACCCACTCCCCACTCAAGGATAGTGAGGCCTTCCATGGGGGACTATCAATGTCTGTTACATCATCTGAGGGAGGGCCTAGGCCCTTCTCTGTGTATCTGGGCTGCAATAGTACCACTCCATAGGGAATGGGCTCCCAAAGTCCATTTGTGCACTAGGGATAAGTACTGGATCCACTGTTAGAGGTGACATAGATTACCCAGGCCTCCTAACTGGCACCCACATGCAGGAGGCTTGGTTCAGTCCAACGCAGCTTTATGACTGGGGTCAAAACTAATTGTACAAAAATTTCAAAGAACTTACAGAACTGACATATGAACTTACAGACTGTGGCATGCATAAGACCTCATAGGTTCAAGTCTGAGAGGTCCCAGCACTGAGAGGAGGACCTGACATGGGGTCCTACCCATAACTAAGAGGACAATTTATACCCACTGGCAAAGTGAAATCAGTTTTCTCTAGTGTAGTCTTAACTGTTTATATTAAACACACAACAATGAGTAGTTGGTCAACACAAAATGAACTACTGAGTGTGTATATGAGTGTATGTATATGTGTTTGTGTGTGTTTTAGAACATTTGGAAAGTAGACTTGAGGTTATGGCCTTGAAGCTGGACTGAGACTCAGGAGAACTTAGGCCCCTCTCTTCTGCCAGACTGAAATTTTAATTCTCTCTTTGATTCTTGGTGATCTGGATTGTATACCACGGGGACTTCTGTAACCCTGTATTCACTCTGCCATCTAATGGAATCCTCAGTGACAACAGGAGAACTGAGACACCCTCAGCAATGGTTCTTTACCATGACTACTGATTTGCTCTATGCCTCCTGAACTTAAGACCAGTCAGCTCCTAGGGACAGGACTGTGTAAGTATCTTACAGGGTCTGTATAAATACAAAGGCAGCTAAGTTCTGAGATGTGGTGATATATTATTTATGATTTTTAAAGTTTTCCTGAGGATTCAGAAAGAAAAATCATCCACAAGCTATAGAGGTCAATAGGTGGTGGCACACACCTTTAATCCCAGGATTTAGGAGATAAAGGCAGATCTTTTTAGTTCAAGGCCACCTAGGGATACATTAGAGAGACTCAGTCTAAAAGAATTAGAGCTCACACCTTTAATTCCAGGACTCATGAGAAGTATATAAGATAGGAGCAAGGTCTCAGAGATGGAGTTCATTCTCAAGTCACATTGAAGTCAGTAGCAGGTATCCATTCTCCAGCCACACTGAGGATAGGAAGACATTCGGTCTCAGGATTCTCCAGCCACACTGAGCACAGGCAACAGGATCAGCCCATTCAGTCTGAGGTAGTGGTAAGAGCTAGTGGCCTGCTACTTTATTTTCTGTTGTTCAGCTTGACATTTGAATCCCATTATCAGTCTCTGGGTCTTTTATTTTTCATTTAACAGGGGTATAATGCTTGCTGCACAAATGTGGAGACCTGAGTTATGACCCCTAGCACCCACATAGAACCTTGGCATAGTGGTGCATCTCTGTAACCCCAGTGCTGAGAGGGCAGAGGATACAGGAAGGTCCCCAGTCACTGATGGATGAGCTCCAGGCTCAGTTAGAGATCCTGTTCCCAAATAAGGTGAAGAGTAATAGAGAAAGATATTCAGTGCCAACTTCTGGCCTCCAGAACACAGGTGTACAGGAACTCCCAGACATGAACACATACATACAAAAACATGTACACACATACACACAGAAAGAAAGAAAGAATGAATGAAAGAAAGAAAGAAAGAAAGAAAGAAAGAAAGAAAGGAAGGAAGGAAGGAAGGAAGGGAAAATTCAAGGTATCCTTATTATTGAGAATCTTAAGACACTAACAATAAATCATGAAAACAAACTTTGGGTCTTTCTAAGCCAAAAAGGATTGTGAGCCCATGAAGGCAGCCAAATTTAACAATATTTGTGATATTTCTCTCTCCCCACTCCATGCTCTCTAACACCCCAACACTCTCTCTGCAGTGACATATTCCCAAATGGTTGCTTAAGAAAGGGAAATAACTGATCATTGTTTGGGAATATATATGTATGTATGTATATATGTATGAATGAATATACATATATATGAACACACATAGATAGATAGATAGATAGATAGATAGATAGATAGATATAGATATAGATATAGATATAGATATCCAGTCCAATCACCTCATTTGAAAAATGCCTGAAGTACATCCCAAAGAGATGAAGTAGCTTTCTCAAGTTCACACTAGTTAGCCTAAGACTGGGCCAGAACTAAGAGTTCCCATTGGGCAGGGTGATGCTGGCTCACACATAGCCCCAGGGAGAGAGAACTCTTAAAAGGAAAAATGATTGTCTCATACACATTTTTTTTGAGTCCCAGCTACATATGAAGGACTACTCATGATGTTTTCTATGTAATGAATCAATACAAAATATTGAGAAAAGCCAGGCAGTGGTAGCACATGCCTTTAATCCCAGCACTCAGGAGGCAGAGGCAAGCGGATCTCTGTGAGTTTGGGGCCAGCCTGGTCTACAGAGTGAGTTCCAGGACAGCCAAAGATACACAGAAAAAAACAAAAAGATATGGAGAAAAATTACAGTTCTGTACAGAGTGAGTTCCAGGACAGCCAAAGATACACAGAAAAAAAACAAAAAGATATGGAGAAAAATTGCATTTCTGTACCTACACACACATAAAATATTTGGAAAACAGTCATCAGTGCATATGCCGCACCACTTTTTTTTTTTTAAAGGAAACACTACTTATGAAGCAATGTGAGGACAGTATTTATTTTCCTTTTAAATACCAGTTCATGCATATCTTAAGGAACATAATGCAAATGAAATCCTAACTAGCTTTTACATTTTGGGCTTTGACAAGACTGGGAATATGCCAGTGTTCATGAAAGGATGAACCTGCCTGGCATTAACACGATGGAGAGAGGAGTCTGACATCAGCTCAGCTCTTCAGGGTTTTGCTCTGGGCTCCAAGAAGCTTGCTCATTCCTTCTTAAAGATCCGCTTGGCTTCGACTCCTTCATATTTGTAGGTCTGAAAGATGTTGACAAACATAAAAGGAAGTGTCATTGAGAGAAAATCCCAAATTAAGGAAAATAGTGATGTTGGAGGCTGTCCTGTAATTTCTTATATTTGATAGAAGCACTTCATGAAGATATAGGATAGGACCATTAAAATTACATTTTGGGTGGCAGGCTTTTATTTTTTGTTGTTGTTAAAACAAGAAATGATGTATGTATATATGTAAACTCTCCTCAATAAATAGATGTATAATATATATATGTATATATATATATGTATATATATATAGTTATAAGAAAGAAGTAGCAGTTTACTAATTAAAGGTGCAAGTCAGCATCGATAAAATTCTTGTTCATAATTATTTTTGTCTTTGGAATGTAATTGTAAATCTTTCTTACAACTTACCTGAATTAGTTCACCACCAGAAATTTCTCGGATAGCAATCAGCTCCTTTCCATTGTCTACACGTTTGAACTGTCCAATAAGTTTATTTCCATCAAGGCTCCAGGTCCCCTGCATCATAATAATTAGTCAGTATTTATTATGATCTTACATGTTTCTAACACGATTTCCAGTTTACAGACAAACATCGTCACTCAGTGACCCTATGGACTCTATGGAGTAATTCATTACTTCCATTTTACATCTGTGGAGACTGAGAAATGACATAGCAATTCCTCAGACATCAGAAAGAAGATTGATTGGTCATGAGCTGTGAGAGTCAAGGCTGTGCTGGGAACTGTAAGCACCACTCAGCTGACAATTGCTATATACTGGATATTCGTGCAGATGAGGAGTGATTATCATTAGTGATAAAGTATGCAACAGGTAGATTGTCCCTGCAGGGCTGACAAGATGACTCAGCTGGTGAGAGAACTTGCAACACAAGCATGAGGAACTGAACTCAAATCCCCAGAATCCATGTAAAAAGCCAAGTGTGGTCACGTATGCCTATGACACCCATGCTGTAGAGAGCAGAGCTAGGAGGACCATGGGGCTTCATGGCCACCAGCCTGCCTCCGGATTGAGTGAGATACCCTGTCTCAAGGGAATAAGATATGCAGCACCACAAGGCACTTGATGGCCTCCTCTGGCCATGTGGGCATGTGCAACCACTACACACACACATACATACATACATACATACCACACACACACACACACACACACACACACACACACACGTACTACAAATATACTTGACTAGAAAATCTCTGAGACTAAAAATACTTCTTAAAAATTAATTGAAAAGAGTGAGTCCCTAAATTTTTTTTATGTCCATTGAAAGGGACATTCTTAATGACCTATAAAGTATTAGACTTTTACATTTGGCTACTCACCCACTCATTAATTGTTTAATTTTTTTAGATTAAATATCATGTAGCTCACTCTAACCTCAAACTTACTCTACATGTTTGGAGAGGCTTGACTTTACGATCCTCCTGACTCAATTCCCACATCTTGGGATTACAGGCTTGTGTGACCATGCCCAGTTTTTATACAGTGCTGGAACCACAATCCACGGTTTTGTCCTTGCTACAGTCTCCTGAATCTGCTACATACCTGGCTTCTCAGTTTATTGTCCAAGTACATATATAAACACTTATTGTGTTTCAATATTATGAACATTAAAAGCTTGTAGTCTCCCAGCAGGAAGAGTTGAAAATACAGAACTTTACATTTCCTTGTGTGGTGGTTTGAATGAAAAAGGCCCCCATAGACAGTGGTACTATTAGGGAGTGTGACTTTGTTGGAGTGGTGTGGCCTTGTTGGAGGAAGTGTGTCATTGTTGGGGTGGGCTTTGAGGTCTCCAGGCTAAAACTATGCCCAGTGACACAGTTCATGTCGTGTCGCCTGCAGATCAAGACACATTAACTCTCAGCTCCTTCTCCAGCACCATGTCTGTCTGCATGCCACCATGCCTCTCCATGATGGGAATGGGCTAACCCTCTGAACTGTAAACAACACAATTAAATGTTTTACTTTATAAAAATTGCTGTGATCATACTTTCTCTTCATAGCAATAGAAACCATAACTAAGACACCTTGTGACTATTCCGATACTCAGTCCATCTAATCTTATTGTTCAGTATAACTTTTTCACAGATGTCTGTCACAATAAAATACTGTATTTAAACATTTAACCAACGTGTGTAACATAAAATATGAACACACTTTGTTTGCCTCTTCTTAGGAATGAATTTGAATTAGTTGAACCGTTCCATGAGATCAACCACTTTGTATTGGTAAAAAAAATCAAGAATGTATTGTTTATTTTAAAAATGTCTTACATTGAGTTCCGTTCCATCTGCTAGACTATAGGTAAAGTTGACACCAAGTTCAAACACAATGTCAATGTTGCGAAAGGTGCTTGATTCTTTGACTGTGAATTTATTTCCGTCCTGTGTGATGGTCAGTTTCAAATTGTCGTGAGCTGCAAGCTTCCTTTTCACCACATTAACACCTGCACAACGAGAGAGATTGGAAGGAACAAGAAATGAAAATGCCTCGGAAAGTGTTTCCCTTTCTAAACTCTGTCCTGGTTTGCTCATGTTTATTTTGTGGGTGGAGAAGAAAGAGCAAATAGGGTTGTGTGTGCACAGCAACACTGAGATGCTTCTAGAGAAAGGGGAAGCTCTGGTAGACCCAGAGAACTGCTTCAAGCAGCTTTTCCAAACTAAGAAAAATGGAAATGAAGCAACAAACTGTAGCACCTTAACCCTGGGTCGTTTTAACAAGATTAACAACCTTTTTGCTTCAGAGTTAAGTCAAATTCCAGCAATGTCAAATGGAGTATTAAAAGGTATATTCATATATTAAAGAAACACAAGTTCAGTTCTGGATATTTATTAACTTTCAACACTACTTTGCTTTCAAAATTGCATTTATTAATTTATTTTGTTGTTGTCATTTGATACTGGGTCTTGATATATAACCCAGGCAGGCTCCAAACTTGCCAGATAGCCTAGCACCCTAGCCTTTAATTCACAATTCTCCCATTTCACTCTCAAAGTGTTAAGATCACAGGCATATAGCACCATGCTTTGCTTGCTTCATAGTTATATTCATTTTTGTGGCATTCCTGATTAGTTGCAAGCAAGAAAAAATAGGGGTTTTATGATGAAATACATTATAATATCAATGTACAGATATCACAAATTTAAATTCAGAATCCCTAAATTATAAACCATAATTCATGCAGGTTTTATTTTGGGAATGACACATAATTTTTGCCCAGTTTTGTAGTGGGTTGCCAGAATATTAGTGGACATTTATAATGTAATCAAATTATACATCCATAAAGAATACACAGCTTTCTGTGGTTATTCCTGAAGTTACATAAGTCAGAGAAGAGAATTACATAGAATTTATTCAAGCTGAGTTTTGATAAAATTCTTTTCTTACCTTGTTGAAAGATCCTTCTTTTTACCCCCAATAATCCGGTGTTATTTTAAATTCTGGAAATTATCATAACACACACACACACACACACACACACACACACACACACACACACACGTGTGAATTTTCAGCTAACAGGCAAGGGAAGAAAACACAAGGTCTCTAACACTTGCCCTGGGAAGACAAGATGTTCTTCCTAAAGCAGGAAGAGTGGATATGGATTTCCTGGCTCTATAGTCACACCTGGAGCCTTACACATCACCAGTCATTCCCTAAGGCACAGGCAGGAGAAAGCAAACAATGAGCCGCCCAGGTAGACACTCTTACCCATTTTCTCCATGAACTTATCATAGTTGTCACTCCGGTCTACTTTCCAATTGCCGTCAAATGCCATGGTCTCAGTTGTGTGTGCCTCTGGAAAAGCAGAGATTCAGTCTTGTCTACAAGAGAGAATTTATTCTACTTCTTATCTTCGAACCAACTCATACTGTGATGTGGAAGTTTAAAGTTCAAGAGATTACTTAACTACCTTACATGCCACGCCCCTTTAGCTTCTCTTTCCATGCTTTCCTTGACTCTACTTCTGTTATTCCTTTTGAAAAGTGGATTGCTCAGTTCTCCATCATGAACTTTATAAATGGCATCATGTATTCTTGTTGTAATGTCAAATTATAGACCTAGGTGCTAAAGCCTACAAAGCATCTTCTCAGGCAACAAACTTAACAGAGATTCATGAATTTTGAAGCCTGTGGATGGTGGTGGCTGTTGAGGGAGAGTCAGTCGCTGTCCTTTGAGGACATGGCTAGTAGGATATCAATGCTCTAATAGGTAGACCCACATTCACGGGTATATGGGCAACAGTTATTGTAACAACCAAGGAGGACATGAAGTTGAAAAGGTGATGGGATGGGCGCCATTTAAGGGAGTTGGAGGGGGATGGTGGAATGTTATGATTAAATTGGATAAAAGTATGAAATTGTCAAAGAATAAATTTAAATGTTTTTAAAGAAGCCACAGGTTGGAGAGGTTGCTCAGTAGGTTATGAGCACACAATGTAGCTGGGTGGTGAAGGCACACACACCCCTTTAGTCTCAGCACTCAGGAGGCAGAGAGATGGATCCATATAGTTAGGGCATCCTGGTCTACAGTGAGTTCCCAGACAGCCAGTGCTGTATAATGAGACTGTGTCTTAAACAAACAGAGAAACAAACAATACCAAAAATGAATAAACAAAAAAAAACCACACTACTCTTACAGAGGACACATTTTGATTCCTAGTATCCACATAGGTTGACTCTCAACTGTGTGTAACACCAGTTCTGGGGCATCTGATGCCTTCTTCTGGATTCTGTGAGCCCTTTGCTCATGCATACCCAAACCCTCACACAGACACATATACACACATAATTAAAAACACAACAAATATTTTAAACTAAAGATCCAATCTTTATTACAAAGGTAAAGTCAATCTCTGGCCAATGGACTAGAAATATGATATATTTAAAAAAGAAGCATGTGTTTTAGAAATGAACCAGGCTTTAGTATTGCAATCAAAACACCCACTACCATGAATGGCCTCAGATTATCCAACATACCTGAGACTCAGTTTCCTCACACATGAAGACAGTAGTGCCTCAAGTATAGGGCATTTTTTAAAGCACTGTGTAAAAGCTCCAACCGGAACAACTTGTAGACACCAGGTACTTAGTAAACCTATGTTTCTGTCCTCATTGTCTGAGAAAGGAAGTTTACACCAGTACCAGTGTAGTAGGAGCACCTCAGGCCTTGATCCACTTTATTATTTTGTGAAGAAAATCCATATCTTTGGTGATTAGAAAGTTATCTTCTTATTTAGTGCCTGGTACAGGTGACTCCTTGGGCTGCCTGTGCCTTGGATTTGCCAGGAAGAAACTAGAGTGGTTTCTTACCATTGTTCACGTAACAGTGTTTTCACACTAGGACTCCCTGCTTTTTCTGCACCTTAAACTACTAAGAGGACAAAAGACTCAGTTGTAAGAGCATACATACTGCTTGGAGTCACACACGCTGCTAACAGATGGGCCTATTAAACTTGGTTTTCCATTTATCGACTTGGAAATCCCATATTCACAATATTGTAGCATCACTAAATGTTTAAATTCTGACTCAATTTTACAACATAATAGTTCTCTAGTTTTCCCTCTATAAAGCTATTGCTTACTAGAATCAATCTAGAAAATGAAAATTATACAAGACCTGTGGGCAGCACAACCTTTACCTTAGAGATTTTTCCTGTTGCTAATATTGAGTCAGCTTAGTGTGGACCTAGCCCATTCATTTCCTGTTCTTATTGAACCCTAAGACTTAGCATCTTAGGATTTGGGGAAATGTGGAAATGTGGCTGCAGATGCCATGAGTACTATGGAATTTGGCTGTCATCCCATTGGCTCTGCAGTCCTTATCCCCCTGAGTGAATTGTCTGGAGGAAGTATCAATTAGCAAAATTTCCTGCTGATTGCTACCCATGTCTCCAAAAGCAGAAACCACATTCTTCAGCACTGTTATTCCTCACTGTGTACTGCAAAGTATTTCAAAGTGTACCGTGTACTCCAAGGTCTTACTGCTCTGCTGAGCCTGCTCTGAACAGTCAAGGGTGAGTCTGATATCTCTCCTTGGTCTGGGTGTAAAGGTCAGAGTATAGTCCAAAAAACAAAGAGTAGATTCATGATAAAGGTTAAATATTATTATCATGATATCCAGAGATGTCAGTGACAAGGGAAAGAGGATGTCCTGAGCTTATCTCAGGGGACTGACCTTCAGAAGCTCACAGAAACCCCCTTTCTCCCATCAAAAGATGGCAAAGAACATTTCAAGGTTATCCTTTTGAATATATCATAAAAAAGAAAGAGGGCATTGTAAGGCATGGTGTTTACCTCAGAGTTTATGAATACTGCTTTTTATTCCAAGCTGTTCAGCTTTCACATATCAAAGACTAACCAAATGTGAAAAAGTATTGCATTGACATAAGAGTTTTAAGATTTCTGTGAACCCCTAGCAAAGAATGGGGAACGGGAACATTCTAAAGTTTGCCAGCAAACTACTGAATTCTGTGTTTGTGAACTGTTAAGACTTGCTTGATTATGTTTCAGAGTTTGAAATGATTGGTTGGCTTCCTTTTAAAGACTATAGGTTTGGCAGCACGCAGAGGGATGTCTAAATATAGTGGAAAGTATACTTTCCTGATTCTTAATAACAAAAGAGTGGTGTTGAGGGATTCTTTATACTTGTCTTTCAAAAATTGTCAATCCCTTTTGTTTTCTTTTTCCTCTTCTGTTTTTCTGAAACAGGGTTTTGCTTTGAAGCTCAAGCAGGCCTTGTGCTTCTTGAGATCCTCTTGCCTCCATGTCCCAAGGCATGGAATTCCAGGCATGTCAACCAAGTTGAATGATTATGCCTGAGAAAGCATGACTCCTCCATGGAGTGCGAGTGTGTGTGTGTGTGTGTGTGTGTGTGAGTGTGTGTGTGTGTGTGTTTGTATGTGTGTGTATGTGTATGTGAAAACCTCTTCCTTTGTGTCCACTTCAATTTTGCTCTAGTGTCTTCCAGCCTATCTCAGCATTGCTATCTACCATCTTGTCTCATCTATCCTGGCTATCTATCTATATGGCACTATCCAGGGTTATCAGCTGTCTACCCCTATCTACTTTTATCTGCCTCCTATTACTGAAAACCCTGGTATGCCACCATCTTGAGTGACCTCAAAGTCCATATGGATAAGCCACAACTCTCTGGTCTTACCCCTCCTTAACTCCTGGTAGTCACGATCCATCTTTAGTTCATTGCTTTACACACTTAGTCCCAACGCTATGTCCTGTGATGTACCACCATCTGGCACACCTTCCAGAGCACAATGCTACAGCCATGGCTTTCATCCTCTCTGTTACTTTATTTTCCCACGGTATCAGTTCTTGGTCTTTCAAGAGAAATTCTCTTCTGTTTTCTAGTAAATGAATTTCCAATGTCTCTATTAAAGGTAATTATATTTTTTCTATCAAAGGTAATGAGTCCAGCCAGGACTCATATTTCCCCAGCCTTCCTCATCCCCTGTGTAACCAACTGAGACTCATTGTGAAGTCAAGCTCTCTTCATCTATAGGATGAAATGGAGTCACCACCATCCAGATCAGGGATAAAAGATGGCAGGCATCTTGGCCCTGCATGCTTGTCAGCCAGGTTTGGGCTCTGGCACACCATTTTTTTTCCTTTTTTACAGGGCCTAGGCCCTCCCCCGTGTGTCCAGACTGAGAGAGCATCCCTCCATGTAGAATGGGCTCCCAAATTCCATTTGTGTGCCAGGGATAAATACCAGTCTACTACCTGGGGCCCCATAGATTGCCGAGGCCTCCTCACTGACACCCACGTTCAGGAGTTCTGGATCAGTCCCATACTGGCCTCTTAGCCATCAGTCTGAGGTCCCTGAGCTCCTCCTTGTTCAGGTCAGCTGTTTCTGTGGGTTTCACCAGCCCGGTCTTGACCCCATTGCTCATCACTCCTTCCTCTCTGCAACTGGGTTCCAGAAGTTCAGTTCAGTGTTTAGCTGTGGGTGCCTGCCTCTGTTTCTATCAACCACTGGATGAAGGCTCTAGGATGGCATATAAGGTAGTCATCAATCTCATTATTGATGAAGGGTATTTAAGGTAGCCTCTCTACTATTTCTTAGATCTAGCATACCATTTTTACAAACAGAATTGCTCTGGCACTTTGTTTAATTTGTTCATATATTCCTTCCCATGAAGAGAAAATCAGTCAGCTGTTGTCCCTCAAGCTAGAGCCCCTTCTTGGTTTATCGCATCTCTATCCTAAACAGTATCCTCTTGCCAATAAAAATGAAACAAAACAAAAATTCCCTCATGCTTTTTTCTGATGACAGGGTGCTATTACACATTTATATTTCCTAGTTCCACCCTCATCATGTGCCTGCTTGGCAAGACTCCTGTGTGGATTTCTGCATTTATAACAAGGTCTGTGCCTTTAGTCATTTTATAGCCTTACCCTTGTCCTCAGCAGATGGCCTGCAGGAGGAATCAACCATCTTGCAATTCACCCCTAACTTTATGCCTTCTCAGTTTTGAAGCTACTTGTTATTTCCCTTTTAATTCTTCCACCCGTTTGTGTTCGAAACTGTATCCATTTCTATTCAGAGGACAGACTGCCCATGTTTGGTCATCTAATGTGTTACCTCATCACGAACTACACACTGTCCTCTTCTATATGACAAGGTCCTGTTTCCCCAGCATAGTATTTTGACTTCTCACCTGCTTTGCAGCTTAATTGAGGAATTCCTATCTGCAGGATCACCCAAGAAATTTAATTGAAGATAGGTGACTCAGAAACTATCTAGATGACAGGATGCTAC